AAAATTAAAAATTATTATCGAAACAATTTTTATTATTTAAAAAAAAAACGAGAAAAACCAAAGCTTTTAATCGATCTTGCAGATCTACAAAATGCTACCATATGACAGCGAAATAAAAATTTATGAAATTTTTAATTCTATCATTTTGCTCTCTGTTTTAGCTCACTAATCATTTGACACAAATACGATAAAATTAATTGCTATACTGTGTTTTAAAAAATCTGTAGATTATTGTTAATAAAATTTTTAAGGGGTAGATAGTCAGAGAAAATATTTTCTCTAAAAAAATCTTAACTCGCCTATTTGTATGAATGATTATTACAACTATTACTTTCAACTGCTCCTTTATAGAGACTTGTGTAATTTAAGTGTTATACATCTAGAGTATTCATGAATACACGTTTCGAGTATATAAACGCTTATATGATTATAATAACAAACTGTTTTCATTGAATATGCAATAACTGTTATACACAAATTTTCAAACATTTACCCATTATAATATTTTAACAAAATCTTAACCTTGTTGTAAACTATTAAATGAAATCAAAAAGAAAAAGACACGAAAATAAAACAAGGATAACAACAAGGATGTAAAAATTGTTTAGGCAGAAAATGCTGCAGTACAGTGTAATACATTCACTACATAGTAGCATTTATTAGAAAACACGTGTTATACAATGTGTTTGTGTATTATATAATATCTATTTACAAATACCTTCACGTATCTACTAAACATAATATACATCTATCCCATTCTTATACTTAATTGGCTGTTCATTTCTATATAATGAAAACTGAATGTAGAAAGCTTAATGTTAATGTTGATGGTGGACGTATTCAAAAATCTTTCCTATATACATTGGCTTTATTTTTTTTTTGCAAGAAATTTACAAAAATATAAAAATGTCTAAAGAATTTTATTTTATAAAAAATATAAATTTAAAGTGAAATCTTAAAACATTTAGTTTAATATTTATTATAAGTATGAACATTGCATTTACAGAATATCTTGCAAATCCCATAGGATTTCTTATTTGTACAAAAATTAAAGAAAAAAAACGAAAACGAAAGCAAAGAATCTCTGCAATTTTTTATTTATCTTATATTTTATTTAATGCATTTCAAAATACCTGAGGTCTATATTAATGTTCCTTTAGATTAGATTTCTTTAAAAAAAAACTTGAACTAAATTCATATATGGTAAAATAAATTTGAATTGAAAGCAATTACCCACATTAATATTAGTTATAAAACAAGGATGTTTATAGTAATTGATCCAGTCAATTGAAGGATACATGTATACTAGTTTGATATAAATTAATAATTTGATAATTCTTTTAAAGGTGGTTGTTGTCTTACAATAAAAATTCGTGGTTTTAATCAAGAATTATGCTGTTTCATCAGGACTACGGAGTCAGAATTTTATGGTTTTTTGTTTTGTGGAGTCAAGTCAGAGTCCTGTTACAGATTTGTCTTCAGAGAGAAAATTGAAGCCTGAGCTACTAGTTTTAGTTTCAACTCATCAAGTGAGTTTAGAAATAATATGGCATCAATTATATCCACGAGCTTTGGGTAATATAATAAAATAAAAAAGGGAAATGAGAATTTTTCCTAAATATGAGTACATCATAAATGAATTTATAAATTTATTATGACCTGATGAACTCTACTATCCCACAGGTATAATAAAAGATGAGATAATGTTAATTTTAAACCAACAACCAACAATATTTTGATATTTACAGCTATATAGCTAATATTTAGAAGGCAAATGTTCTACAAAATAAAATTACATATTAAATTCATTTATTTTACGTTTCCCTACAAATTTAAATATGAATGAGATAAAGAAAACAAAAATAATTATTTATTTCTCCATATTGAATTTTATTTAAAATTTAAAAATTCATATTAAATAATTAATAATTTATTTAAATTTTTTTTTCATCTTATGATAAAATATTATGCTATTAGTTTATATTAAAGTTGAAAATACTTGCCAATTTTCAAACTGTGCAATATATATACTTTACATCCGTAATTACTATTTATAGGTAGTATGTCATTACACAATATTCAATAGGAAAATACATAAACATCTCGGCATAACTCCCCCTAAATGTCGAATCTATGACCACAGTAATTTCAAATTTCAATTTAAATTTGAAATTGTCAAATGTTCAAATTCAAATTTCAAAATTGAAGATAAAATGAACAATTTATTAGGGCTAAGAATTCAGGCTTGAATTCTGAGAAAATGTTGGAATGAGTGTTCAGGCCGTTATTGTCGGAGTCGTGGTCAAAATAAGTGAGACTAGCCATATTACTAAGTACTTAAAACTGTACAATAATTGTTCACTAGTTAGCCTAACAAAAATATTTTACATAACTATTATCGCGCAAATATTGTACAAAAAAATGTCTACAAAATTCATAATGACACATGAGAGAATATAATAATATACATATATTTTATATGGGACAATTTCTAAATCAATTCCGGGAGTAATATTTATGTATAAAACTGTAATATGAGAAAGTTTAAGAGGGCTTTCTTTTTAATATAAGGTACGTAATATATCTAGTAATTTTTTTTATATCTGAAGTTTATTCTCTTATAATATTATTTACTGTTCGATTTTTCCCATACAACATATTCCAGTAAGTAAAGACTTATCATATATAACCTTAACCTATAAACTGAAAAATCTTTATGGAGTCAAAATCAGGTAAGACTACAGTTTAAAAATCTTCTATCGAAAAAAAAGTGATAAAAGGTCTATACTCGTAAAGATACACTCCAAAAATATCTCATTCTGGAAAATTTCCGTATAGAGTTTGATATAACAATTAAATCAACACACAATCAATAAAGTTCTAAGATCCAACTTTTGTTAGGTATTTGAATACTACACCCAAACTATTAAATTAGTAACTAATGAAGTTTCAGTTCCCAAGTAATTTCTTTTAAAAATTGCTATTATATTGAATAACACCTGCTATACAATATACATTAACAAATCTAACGAACCATAGCTATTTATATTACAAGAGTCATTCACTCCTCGAAATATAGAATAACTTTTTTTTTTCAATACGAAATTTACAAGTAATTTAGAGGGAGGAATAATATAAAAAGAATTTATAAAATAGTTTTCCAAAAACCGTGCAATTTCTTAAGATTTTAAGAGTATACAAGTATTCATAAAGTCTCCCTTCTTTTCACAATATGATAACCATGTGTAAAAGTTATAATTAAATTTAGTAAATTATATTAATTTTGTGTAACAGTAGGAGCTACAACATATTTAATGCTATGTAATCATGTCAGAAACTCCTTTTTTTAAATAAATTAAGCATATTAAATAAAAATGTGCGGTAGCGCGAAAAAAAAAATCTGACTGCAATAAAAAATTAAAATAACCATCTATAGTTTGTTATACTACAAATGTTTTTGTTTTTCTATATTATATTTTTATTATTATAACAAATTAGTCTAATATTCGTATATGATTGCAATCTCTTTGACTTTATAAGCGCATCATATACATTTTATGTTGTTTTAATAGAATTCTAAAGTATGAAAAATCTTCTTTTCAATATCACGAGTATATTAAAGAAATGAGGAAATTTTAAATGGCCTTAAATTATTATGCATTAATTATATAATTTCCTTCAAGATTTTTATTATTATTATTTTATTACTATAATTCAATTAAAATGAAATGATTATATACTATGGGTTAGAATTCTATTAAGAATAGTTAGTATAACAATAATGAGGGAGAATTTTTCAAACAATAATTTTAATTTATGATTTAGCGTTTTTGTGGTAAATTAAACGTGGCAATATTATTTTTACTTAAAGTGCTCAGTTTGTACTGTTGCACATAATAACATAGAAAAAAAATTATTCAATTTTTAATTATTTATTAAAATAAATTAATTTTTAATGGAAATAAATTTAATGTAGTTGAGCTAGTTATAGTAAGATTTTATGAAGGCTGTTACTTAACACTTGAGTCATAATTGTTTGTTTTGAATTGTTAACTAACTATGTATGTATGCTTAACAACGTAAGTGATGTGTCCGATTTCTGAAAATTTTTTAATTTATTCAAATTTTCGTATTATTTTTATGCTTACACAAGATTGTTTTCTATACTTAAGTAAGATTGACAAGAATATTTTCTACTGTATAAAAAATTCTGTAGATTTTCTGTGGAATGGTTGGATAGAAAATATTGTTTACAAATGTAGCAAAAAACAAGTGAAAACGTTTCAGTCGGTATAAACTGATTACTCGAACCATTCTATTGAAACTTCACGGATGTCTCTGATCTATAATTGGACAGATGACTGCCCCGTTTCTGAATTTGATTTTATTATTTATTATTTTTCCAAATATTTAAAATTAGCTATTGGATTTGTAAGGCAGCTAGCCGAACCAATGCGGCATTGAATTCGAAGAATTACTCTTCGAATTTGGTTAATTTTGCTTGTAATCACAGAATTATAGATTCATTTCTTGTTCTCAATTTCATCTTCATGATTCATAATAAGATTTTATTAATGCATACACATTCACTCATATACATAAGACAATGTTAATATAATTTCGGTTTGGACTGTTTAACCAGTTAAAACTTTTAAAACAGCGAAATCATTTCATTTCTTACGAGCGACTCCTTTCATTTCTTGTTCATTTTAAAGTCTACGTGCATACTGTCGGTTTCAAAAGGAAAATTGGAAGTATCTCCAAAAACTTACTTTAAGAAATTTGTAAGCAAAGTACAATATTCTGAGAAGGCGCCTTTTGCATATAGTTAAGTCTTCTTTTAATCCGCAATGTGTTAAGAACCATTTTTATTCTTCATTTATCGTAGAATTCATACTTTCAGTTTGAATTATAAATTATTTTTTTTATTCGAAAAATAAATAAAGATAAAATCAAAAATTAAGTCTTTAAAAATTAATTTTTAAAATAATTTCCCAAACCGAATGGTGATTTTGAATTTGTTCTCAGGAAATAAACACCAGTTTTAGGTATTGCTGGTTCACCACCCATTCTTGATATTGTACAATTTCTTCCATAAAAATGACAATTACAAATATTAAATGTCACCAATTTTTGAAAATTTTCACATCTTGTTCCAATAAATTCATTCTGTTCATTTGCATTTATTGATTCAGCAAAATATTCATATGCCGATGCATGATTACAAATTGGTCTTAATAAACAATGTGGTTGATTTGTTCCATAATTTGGATAAAATGATGCTTTACCAGCTTCACCAAAATAACCTGCTAATCCAATATTTGTTTGAATAGCTTCAACATATTCAGCATCACTACCATCAACACGACCATTAAATCCCAAACCATGAAACATTGGTCCAGCCGGTTCTAATGCATAAATTGTTTTATATTTATATGGAGAAATTTCTTTCCCAGCTAAACCAGCTATTTGTGCACCCAAACTAAATCCAATTAAATACATGTCAGAGAATGGAATTGATTTTGTTACATTTAAATATTTTGTAAAATCAGCTAATCGCTTAGCAACTCGATTAATTGTTAATGAAAGATAAAAATAATCAATATCCTGTGATTTTTCATCCCAACTTACTGTTATTACATTAAAGTTTCCTTTTTGTAAATAAGCATTTTTAATTATCATTGATGAACAACTATTGTAAACATTTAACCACCCTGATATAATAAATCTGTAATAAAAAAAAAAATATGTAGCTACGCAAGTCATTTTTACTTGAATTTAAAAATTAGGCAAGTCGTCTTTTTATAATAAGCTCATCAGAATAAATTCTATTCATATACCATAGCTACCATGCTACCATACAAACTATCTCACTACAAGAAATATTTTAATTAATGGGTTTAAACTTACCTTGTCGGCCAGCTTCTGTTAAAATTTGAAATATCCAAATATTTTGAATTGTTATAAAGTAATTCTTGGTGCTGGCCTGGATTCAATCTTGTATATAAATGGTAATGAACTTTAGGTTTTGGATCAGCAATACGTAAACTAACAGTTTTTTTAACTTTTACATAAAATGCATTAATTAAAGAGAAAATTCCATTAGTATCAACACAATCCATTTCTTTATCCTTTTCCTCTTCCACACATGATGCAAAATCTATACAAAAAATTTAATAAAAATTTTAATAATGAAACGCAATTTAAACAAACAAAATCAGTGGCTTGCTCACCCAATAACATCAGAATCATGAAGATCAACACAAAATGCAAAATTATTGATGGAATAATGTTAATTTTCATAATTTTTTCAAACTAATTTCTGGACACTTTTTAATACACCTTAAGATTTTTAGCCTCCTCGTAATTAAATTCAAACAAGTAGAAATGAAAATGAAAAACAAAACTGATTGACACTGCCGCTATGCGTTTATTGCATCCACTTTGGTCACTGATTACTCTTAAAATGTTGGTTGAACTTTTCTTGATTGAAATAAAATTATGAAATAATTTGAATTGTAATTTTATATTTTAAAGAATGCCCTCAATATTGCTGCCTGTTCCAATCAGCTTGTTGATATTTTTATCATAAACAGTTCATTCTTATATACTCGTAAATTTTCTTATTAATTGGTAAAATTATTGACTTTACGCACTAATATCTTAAAATTATATATGCCTACACATGTGCATGAAGTACATAAATTGCAAATATTCTGGTGCAACTACCTTTCGTAACTTTCCTGCTTTATTCATTCTTCTTTTATTAATTCCCTATTTGAACTTTATTCATATAAATTCTTTATATAAAGTTTTATATTTAATTAGAATATATATTTTTCAATTTCTGAGCTTTCCAAATTTTTGTAAAAATTTCAATTAGTATAAAAAAAATTAGCATTATAACCTTCAATTCTATATTCTACGTTATCCTAAAAGTATGCAAATTTTAAATGTGGTAATATTAATTATGAAAGCGAAGAGAAGTAGTTTTCACAAGAAGTAGTTTAATCTAGCAAGCTATAGTGCTAAAAAAATTTGGGAATTTGTGATTAGAAATCACAATATCAAAAATCTACAATATCCGGTCAATTATAAAAACATCTAGAATTAAAATTTAACCCGAACATTTTATTTTTCTCCCAAAGTCTGAGAAATTAAATTAGAAACTTGTTTTTAATTAAATTAATTCTAAAGAACTGATACAATTAAATACTCACATTAGATGAAAAGAGATGGAAGTTTTGTTCATCAAAATCTTCCTAACATGTTGAATTTGTTCTTCATTTCTTTTTGTTTATTTTTAGCACTTTTCCAAAAAATTTTTGAAAAAAAGTGCTTATTAGTTTCACTCTGTCCGTCCGTCCGTCCGTCCGTCCGTCCGTCTGTCCGTGTGTCTGTTTACAAAACTTCTACACCCTTGAAGATAGAAAGCTGAAATTTTGTATGTACATAGATCTTTACTAGAAACTTATTTCCGTAGAACAAAATTTTTACCTATCCCCCCCCTCTAGAAGTTATACCCCCCCGAAACCATAAAAATGGCCTTTTTTAACTATTTGTTGCAATGAAACCATAAGCATTTTTAAAATTTTGCAAACGCATAAAGACAGCGGCTTGCTTCCCCTAGCGCGATATACTATAGTTAAACTTTAGAAAAACAAAATGGCCGTTCAAATTTACCGTTATCTAAAGTCCGTTTTTTCCAAATTTTTGATGTCGTTTATTTTCTAGACCCCATAATGTAGAAGCTTGAAATTTTATGGGCTTTTAGACATTAACAAATAGTTCATTTCGTTAGAAGAAAATTTTTTTCCATCTCCACCCCCTCTCAAGTTATCGCCTCTTGAAATTTGTAAAATTTGAATTTTTGGCGCCTTATATTTCCAAAATCGCAAACGTTTTCAAATTTCTATAAACATAAAAAGTTAGCGGTAAATTCCGTGACATTAAAAAATATAATTATTTTTCTTAACTCACACAATTAACCCTTAAAATCGAGCATTATGTTAACCCCTTTTTATATTAATTTTTGCTTTATTTCAAAGACTGCATATATGCGTCATCCTAAATATATGCAATCCTAGAAATAGTTTGTATTTGAATGAAAATAATTTTAATAGTGTGATAAGTATGCATAGACTGTATTTAAAAGCAGAATTTTCACTTGATGAAGGGAAAAGTGCTACAATACAAACCATTGGTTTGACCCAACTTTATTAAATTTGGTTTAACATACTCTTAAAAATATGCAAAAATTTTCAACAAAAAGGAAAATATTCTATTTCATAAAATCTGTGATTAAAGAGAATTTTAAGAGTCAAATTTAAATGAACCAAATTAAAATCAATGCAAAAACGTTATTCACTGAACCATGCCAAATAGAATAGAATTTTAATATGAAATTCACATTAATTCATTAGCGCTGACCATATTATTAAATAAATAAATTACACTTTAAGATTCACAAAATTTAATTTGCCATAAATATGCTGTAAAAACATACTTCATTACAATTCAAGCACTACTATATACCCACATTTACACGTGAACTAACTTTGATAGCCTGCGCTCTCCAATATTCTTGTTTCAGTGGCCTCAAATTTTATGTTTAACTTGTAAATGAGAAGATTCTTTTTGAACTGCTAAAGATGTTTTAGTTAAAAATCAAATGCAAAATTACATGTAGCCTTATTTCTTTTTCTACCACTTTTTTTTGATAATTTCAATCGAAATCATAGAATTGTCATTTTATAGTATCGGGATAAGTAATTGTTTCCCAATACAATTAATTATTGTGTCAATTGGATTGATTCTCATACAAAAATTTCAAAATACGAACTAAATCTCATTTACTTTCAAAGCAATTAATGTTGGATGTTATAACTTAATTTTGTATATATTTTTAAAATCAGTTAGACATACAATACCAAAACCTTCTCCTCGGTGAATGAAAACTAAACTACATTAAAAAATTCGAAATTTCTTACTAAATTCTAAAATATTAGATTCACATTTCCTTATTATTACTTTTTAGAAACTTGAGATATTTTTATGTAAAAGCATCGATACTTGGTATTTGCTGGATCAATTGACGACGACATTAATGTAGAAAGTAAATTTTGCAAACTGTAGCTCTCTTAAAAATTTTTTTTACTTTCATCTATATAAGGAACATTCATTGTCACTTCAAAACAATTAGTTCTGCATGCAAATCCTTAGACGCTACTGCAAATAGACAGAAAATTAAGATAAATTAGTTAAAAATATTTTTTCATAGTATGCTTTTTAAGGAAATTTTTAGCATTGGAACCAAACTCATCAATATTTGATTATAAGATATTAGAGAACAAGTCTTCAACTCTTACCCACAAATGTACGTAACACTCGTGTATATAAAAAACACAATTAATTAATATTTACTTATTTTACAGACAATTCGAATTAATTATTATTAAAGAATTTTCATGCTCTTCTCAAGTCTTTATATTTTTTTCTTATACATACACTCAATACCTATGGCGTTAAACCCCAATAAATTTTCTTAACACATTACCACCAATATTCAAGAAAAGAAGAAAAAAAATTAAAATTATTGAGTATTTTAAAAGTGCAGCATATTGCAAAAAAAAAAAAAAACTTGTTATCAAAACTATTTTTAAATTACCTATAACAAGTTATATACGAAGAAGACATACCTATAAAATAAAATTGCATTTTTTTTTTCTCTCTCTCTTTATATGATCAAAACTATTTTTAATGGTAATTTAAAAAATTAAATACCTATTATAATTTTATTCTTTAATTATCATCACAATTCTTTCATGTATACATGGAAAATTTATTTACATTGTAATAATTATTTTCATAAAAATGTGTATGAACTTACTGAAAACGCGACAAGTAGCAAATTGATGTAACATTAATATATTGGCAGTAAGTGCCTGCCATGGCAGTACATATTGTATACTGCGATATTAACAACAAGCATTTTAAACTATAAATATCAATCAGAAATTATCACATCTCACACATTTATGATCTCATACTGTGCCAATTGATTAACAACAAAAGATGTCGTACTATGTATGATAATTTAATATTGTATAATAATTGTATTATTTAAAACTCTTTAAGAGAGAAAAAAAAAATTGTGTAAGTATGCTATATATAAAATACATACGAGTACACATAATATGTGTATAATATAAAAATTTAAATTCCAAATTGTTGTTCTTTATTAAATCTGGTAATAATATTTATTGTGTATTCAGACATATTATAGCGAAATCCATTATAATGAAAATGAATTTTAAAGAAGAAGAAAAAACAAGAATAAATGAAATTTATTTCAATAAAACTTTAGGGTATCTGTTGGTAAAATGCTAAACTTACAAAATTAGCAAACTAAAATCCAGATAATTTTAATTTATTCTTTGTGTACAAACGCTAAAGCCTTATAATATTATATTAAAACAAGAAGCAAACTGGAGCTTTACGGTACATCCTAGAGAGACCTCAAGCATTTTACAAATAGACATTTTGGAATCAATACATTGCCCAGTTCCTTTCTTATCGTGAACTGGCGTTTACATTCGCACTTTTTTATAAACTGAGTATTACAAAATGATGTTCTTCAGTAAATTATAGTACATAATTAAATATACTCATTAATTATTTTTTTGAATTAACAGTAGAAGAGTCACAAATACCTTTCACGAGACAGAATCCGAAGTTTTGTAATATTACATTTCAAGAAAGAGAAATATACAGTATGTACCGCAATAAACCCTTAACAATTTCAATAATATCCAAAATTGAATGTGCCCTCAAAATTTCTCAATTTTGAACATTATTAAAGTGAATTATAATTTAAAATACCTTATACATTATAGTCATAAAGGTAATAAAAATAAATCAACTTAAAACAATTTCTTTACAATTTTCCTTATAAGTATAGTAACTTGTATCCCATAAATGAATTTATAGTATAGTAGAATTTATGCAATCTCAGTTATAAGTACCTTATTTTCTTATATGCACATTTTCATACATTTTAATGTTAATATTTATAAACGATCATTAGTTAATAGTTATCTAGTATAACTTATTAGCATACAATCCATATGAATCTAATAAATAATTCAGTAATTTTCTATTTTGTTAATATTATTTTTCTTGATTGTTCTTCTCTTCTTATTTTTCTTTTTAAATTTAATAAATTCATGTCACCAGCGAATACTTATTGTATA